ATTCGCAAAACTTTATACTGACCCATATTTAATACCTACGTGGTTCAAATCATAATAAATACCGTTCTTTTCTTTCTGTTGCAGGTATGCACGTTGGCTCGGTGTACGCTTATGAGCTTTAATCATTGCCTGGCATAAGCGCACAAGCTTACTCATTAATGCGGTATCGTATTCAATCATAATAACGCACACGACACGTCGGACCAAAGTTTGCGAATGCAATTTTCGGGCGTGTCCTTAATTTATAATCTATTAATAATAGTTCATGCAGCATTGTGCATACACGGTTTGCGCATATCAAAGATTCGATATTATAACGGCTTGCAAATTATAAAGGCATGCAAACATCAGTTAATGCAGTTACGGCAGTGCTCAGTGCTGTAAGCAGCGAGAGTAGCCCCGCTTTGATTTTGCCAACATTATTACAAGCTGTGGTGTATAGATGGTGGTGGCTTTTGAAGGAAATTAAATAAACACCGTGGCGATGGCGTGTTTTTACTTTTTAATTGAGAGAAGATAAAAAAAATAACCGAACCCACGGCAGCAGCAGCAGCGAGGGTGCGTCTCGGTAGATAGTAGCAGTGTACGTCAAAGACCGAAATCGACGTCGTTTCATTTGAAAGTCAGGCGACTTGGTCTCGCTTTGAAGTAAATGGACGTGAAACTTGGCTCTCTCGCTCGAGAAAGGGAAATTTCCTTCGAGTTGATGACGACGACGATGTTCTTCGCACTCGTTTATTTATGTGACGAGAGTAGCTGAAAGAAGACAGCTCTCTCCCTCCCTCTCTCGTTCTCGCGTTTTGCTTCTTTGATGCCATATCTGCACGCGCGTCTCTCTTCCTCAGCCCTCGCTCGAGTGACTCCTTTCCAGAGTTTTAATTCCGTCGGCGAAGAAAAAATATATATTGTAAGCGCGAGAGTTTCCTTTTGCATGTGCGTGCGTGCGCGTGTACTCGCAAGAAAGTTGGACGTTTATTATTTTTAGGGGGAGCAAACCAAATATTACCCCAAGGACCAGTTATGATTCGAAATGGGATTTTCGTATGTAAAAAAGGCAATTGGAAAAAAATGAGCGAACGCAAGCTCTCAATTTAAAAAGTGGGCACGGTCTGCGATAATTCAAGTCTAATAAGTCACCCTCTGCTGGAAATTACTTTTCGAATTCTTTCGTTTTCCCAATGGCATATCTTGCCGGGGCCACTCAATACAAACTTCTCTGCGCGCGTGGGCGCCCCCTCGGCGGCACACTCGAAATTTCGAAAGTAAGCTCAGTTTTTAATTTGTTATCAAGCCACGTGAACCTTTTAATCGTTTACTATGGTATATATACATTTGCAATAAGGCAGCACGAGTATACTGGGAAAGTTGAAATGAAGAAATAAACGAGCGCAAGATCCATGCACACACGTACACACACATCGGGCATAGGTACTTATAGAATTTGTGATGTGTACAACTCCCTTATCGCGACTATAAATCCGACGTGCGCGCGCGTATATTGCCCTTCGCGCACTCGACGCACACTCGCACGCTCGCATACCTGTAGAATTCGTAATATCGACCTGTGTGATATTTAATATATATATATAAATCTTTGACCTACACGCGTTCAAGCGTATAATAATAATGATGATCGTGATGATAATAATAACGATCTGAATGTAATACTTAAACATACGTTGCACGCAGTGCATATAAAATCGTTTGGCTTCGTTTTGGATGTTGTGTTTGCTCTAGCCACGGCACACGTTGTATATTTATTTATATAGTTTTCCGCATTCTAGCGACTTAAGTGCGCAATGTATTTGCAAATACGGAAGAGTTATCTGCATTCGACGATTAATTTGATTTTAACGCTACGAGGTAAAAAGCTGTTTACGCATCATTTGAGAGGGAAAAAAGCGTCGGAGCCGCGCGCGTACATTGATAGTCCGAAAGTTTTGAGTGAAAATCACTCAAGTACAGCAACACACGTACACTCGTACACAGCCCGCGTACTACAGTGTATAGATCTGTGGGGTCTGGGGCTTAATGTCGCGCGGGTGCACGCGACAGAGTGGTGAATACAAAAGTTTCCATTTGCATGAAGCAAAGAACGAACGAGAGAGAAAGAGAGAGAGGTAAACTACTTTTCTCATCTTGCCAAGCTCTTTCTCTCTCTCTTTATTTCTTCTCTTTCAAGGAAACGTGGTCGTAGAGAAAAGTTTCTGGGAGTCGTAGTTGTCAAAACTTTTTAAATCTGGCACTTTTATTCTTACACGTATAAGTAGGTTTGTTGGCTAGGCCCTAACTCCCTCATATCCTTTAGAGTAAAATCTGCGCACGTTAGTCTCGACGTTTTGTTTTTATTTTTTTTTTCTTTAAAAACTCAGCTTATACGGGATAACCAGACTTGGCTGTTGTTCATATCAATCATTGAGCACATCTGTTCCGCGCGAAAAGACTTCATAGCAAATAATTTTAAATGGAAGACTTGATAGTGGTACTAATTACTCACTCTGTAGACATCAATCATTTGCTATCGACGTTTCGGAGAACGTTTGCATCGAATGTGTTAATGAATTATTTTCTCACCAAAAGTAGACTCTCATTTAGCCTCGCTGTTTTTGTTGGTTGATATCCATTAATCTCGCATTTTGGAAATTAACACTTTTCGTTGAGAATAATTCATTGTGAAATTAGCATTAACACCCTGGATTTTTATTTTACATACAAAAATTACACATCAAATAATTTTAAACATTGACATACCCGGGGAAATTAAAATTACATTTTTCATTTTAATTAAAACCCTTGAACAGAAAGAGAGAACTGAATTTTATTAAAATAGTCATTTTCAACAAATATTTGCGTGCATGTGCACAAAAGTTTTCATTTTTAGTTATTGAGCGTACTATAGCAAAAATTGGGTCATGAACGACAATTTCAATTGTTTCAATAATAAAAAGCATTGCGAGGTCTCATGGTTGTACAAGGGCAGCAAATGAAACAAAATTTCATTGTTGCTTTTTTAACCTGATTGGTTTTTTTGTAGAAAATTTTAAAAGTAGATTCGAATCCTTGCAAGTTGTACGCCATACAATTATTAATTTTACTAACTCTTCAAAAATGTTTTTTCTGTGTGTAGAGCCTGCTATAGTTCTCGGCATGATAGTGTATAGCTATAGACTACGGGCTAGCGCATCGCACTTGATTTAAAGTTTCATTCTTTAAAGTGCCGCAAGAACCGCACGCGAGGAAAACAAAAGCTCGTGTGAGTGTAATACAACTCACAAAGAGAAAACGAAATAAATAGCGCACGTTTCCCTTTCTCGACCGGTTGCTGATCGTAAAATTTCGAGTTTAGCGCGTTGTCTTTTTTCCTAAACTACAAAAAAACCTAGCATACTTACTTGGCGTTCTAATTTAATTAAACCATTTTTCTTTGGTTTTTAATCATCCGATAAATATGAATTAAATTTCATCATTCCATTTACATGAATTGACTATCAAAAGTATTCTAATATGAAAAATGTATGTATATTTTTTTACTTTAACTGCGTTGGGTTTTCCCACTGCACATGAATTTTCAATACTCGTTCCAATTTGAAATCCATAACTTTCAATACACCTCCCTTGTTTTTTCACTTATTTACACTTTCTTCGGGGGCTTTTTTCACTTTTGTTCGCACTGCTACTGCTACTGCAATATTTACTCTCGCGTCTGTATCTACAACTTTTTCAATTTCAACTATTAACTCGTAGCGTTCAATATATGGATCTTGGTTTTACTCTTTCGGCCGTATACGTAAACCCAAACACAAGTGCAAGGGGGAAAAAAGGAATTCAACTTGAGCCTGTATATTTCATTTTTCCATTTTCATCCGGCAATGCAGCGCAGCATGTTTTATTCCATAAATACGTTTGGATTCTGTCAAATATAATTTCAACACTGCTCGATGCTAAGAATATCGCAAGGCAGAGTACATACAGATGTATCGTATCTACGAGTCAGCAGTCGGGTACCTTTTTTTCATTTTTTTTCAAAGCCGCAAAAATAATTGTTAAAAAATAAGAACTAAAAAGATAAATAAATATAAGACAAAAATCAATCACACAAGATACATAGACGCGACGACGCTCCGCAAAATCACTTGCGGGGAAAGCGCGCGTGTGCTTCGTTTTCTCCGACTACAAAGTTTAAATGCGCGCGCGTAGTAAAGCTAGTTAAATATATATTTACGAGACGTTGTAACTTACCACGGGGTAAAATCGTCGCTGTCAATGCTATAATTGTTGCCGCAGTTCCAATTAACGCCTCTTCTCTTTCTTCGCGCGCTGCTGCTGCTGCTGCTGCTGCTGCTGCTGTAACGACCAGCAGTGAGCCAACTCTCGCTTGATTTACCATCCATCCGGAATCCCGAGGGCTTTCTCGGGACAAGACTTGCATAACTTGCCGATGATTAATATCATCCACGGACGGAAATAAGCAGTAATGACTGCGAGTCCGCGCGTATGTACTTATGGTAAAAAATCGCCCAACATAATCATGATAAATTGATAGTCCATTATTTTTCGTCGGTTCAATTTGCTGCTATATAACCCAAATTCGGGAAAGTTCCGCAATTTTCCGCAAGTAACAATTCTTCCCTAAAACAAGGCGCACGCAGCCTTTATAATGCTCTTTCTCATGCGCATACCGGACTTGGTTTTTCTGTTTAGCCTATAGCATGTAGGTCTGTGCATATACAGGACCTCCATAAGTATAATCACATTGTTCACGGCTAATGCGCGTTGCATGTCGATCGGCCACTTTGTCCTATTACGTTACCGACCCAAGTCTCCCCCTCCGTGTGTGTTTATGTTTATGACCTTAAAATTACGCAAGGACATGGTGAGTTGAGAGAGACTGGTCCGCAAATAAAATATAAGACCGCTAACTTCAAGTTTTACAGAGTTTGAACAAATAAAAATCGATTGATTTTACTTGCGTTAATGTGATTGTTTCTTTTTATTTACAGTAACAGCAGGACATCCACCTCAAAGACCCTGGATACCTTTGACTAGACCAAATCGGATGAGGCCAACGTGTAAGTATTTGCAAATTTTCCAAATCTAAATGTATACCCGGCTTTTAGTGCGCTGCGCGCGCGCTCTTCTTTCTTTTCCCATTTTGCCATTTTTTAATATTTAAAATCGAAAAATAAAATTTAAAATAGAATTATGGTATCAACTGTAAACATCATAATTAGTTTTTAGCCGTCAATAGGTCAATATTCCACTTTCTCAACTTACTACAACACTCGTATTTGCGCGCCACTAAACAATTGCAAGCTACTGAATGACCAATCACAGCGCTTATAAACTGCTCACGCTAAAAACCATACTACTCTTATAGGATAGGATTCTTTCTCGCTATGGTAAGAAGCTTTGTCCACTTGCACCCATGGATACTCGATAACTTTTTGGCTTTATTCTCATAAGTTAGATATAAATTGTCCTGCTGCACGCATACATAGTTATATAATCGCTCGAGTTTCAAGAGCAGTTCGTTACAAAATGGAATTTTGGTTCTTTGCCAGTTTCGGACTTCATTATTCACCGGACTTTTCATATAGTACTTTCATTCGTATGCTATTCTTTCTTTTTATTTCTTTCCTTATTTTTTCAAATGTGGGCACTTTTTTTGCTTGATTTTGAGACTCGTTTCATTTTCTTCTTTTTGATCGTTAACCCATTAGCCCTCTATTAAATGTATATTTAAAAAAATATCAATCACCGTCTTCGATACGTCAGTTTTATTAGCCATGAAATACCGAAGTTCTCGACAAATTAATAAATGTGCTGCGCTCCGGGCGGGTGCGTACACGGCGCACAAATTATGATTTAGCTGCATATACTGTGGCAGAAGAGAATTAATCACTGAAAGCTTGTCTAGACCGATACGGACCTTGGATTTTGCGGAAAATCGTCCGTCAGGTCGCTCACACTCCGGACTTGTAATCCACATCCCATTGCACATTGCTTTTCGAGTAATACTGCAGATTTGCAGAGTTACGAAATTTTCGTTGTTATATGTTACTGTGCATAAAACACACGTTGCAACGTGCGAAAGTTTGTGCGGAATTATTATGCAGCCGCGCGCAAGAAAATCTCACACGGGAGAAAGGAAAAAGGGATCAGTCCTGAATTTACGAGAAGATAAAAGCTATCGCGCGCGTGGGTGAGTTCGTCCGAACTCAGCGATATTTTGATACCGGATCGTTTAAAGTCTTTTATTTATCATCTATGCATATCCAAGCGCTTTTTCCCTTGTCTAGTTTAATGCGCTTTAAATTAGAATTTTCCTAGAAATAGTCGATCACTGAACGTACGTGCACGTGGCAAAAACCGCATCTAAAATTTCTTGCATTTTAAACGGTCCACGAAAAAAAAAGACAATAACGAGCTGGCTGTACGCCGCTAATGGCTCTTTTTCTCGTGCGAAAATTTGTGCATTACGCTTGGTTCATACGATACAATATTCGGTATAATGTAAATATTTTCTTCGACGCAGCTGTTGCGCTTATAGCGCGCGCAGTAAGAGCAGAATTTAAAATTATAATATATTTTTATCGATCACCCATCACCGCTACCACTTGGGCGCGCGCGCCCAAGTGAATGCGATGTTGCACGGTTTATATTTTATTCGCGAGCACTGCGTGGAAAATTCACCAATGAATTGGGTTTCGCACGAGTTGCATTAGCACTTTTCATTCGATTTTGTTTCTTGCTCGTGCTGCTGCTGCTGCAGCTCACGCATAATATGCTAATGTTTTATTGATAAACGTGCGCGCGCGCGTTATACGAGAAATGTACATGACAAAAAATCAAGATTATACTTTATCGAAGCCCATTTTACGAGCTCGCTTAATAATTTTAACGCCGATTTCGGATATTATTTACTCGTAATTGCTAACGCGATCGCTGAATAATTTTGCACGTTTTGCGCCGAGCTAAGCAGTCGCGTCGAACGCTGGGGACCCGTAATGCCCCTTATAAAATTTTAATCCAATATGTATTGCGTGGACTGGAAGTTATTCAGCATGTGGGATAAACCCTATACAAAGTCGATGAACGAAGCCGCGCTCGCGCGCGAAAGAAATTGCCGCACGACGGCAATTTAATCGATTACTATTTATTTTCTGCTTATGCGGAAATTAAATTAAAGTAAGATCCACTATGTACTCGGTCGATGCGTATCCAGCATACTTGAGATAAGCGAAAAAAAGTCAGCTGATAAATATCGAACGCAGGGATAACTGTGTTACACAATCATTCATTCCTAATGTTTAAATTTGTTTCGATAGAGCGAACGAATCCATCACCTTGGAAAATGCTCACAGGATTCACCCTATGGATATATATATAACGCGTTTGTACTTACGGGAAAGAAAATTTCGCAGTGTGTGCAGTACGAATATCTCGTTCGTACGTGTATCGGAGTCATTTGTATTTCAGGTGCAGTAGCTGCAGTGCCGCCGTTGCTGAACAGCATTGAGAGCTACTGCTGCCGTTATACATTAGCGATAAGCAAATAGATCCCTCTTTCTCCGCGTGTACGCTTGCGGTGCAGCAGCAGTATACGTACACGGGGCGCTGTGCGCAGCGCGTATTATACGGCGGATAAAATCGTTTCTCTTATCGTTTCTACTGCTCTCGTTTTACGGCAATAATATCGGGAGCTCGAGATAAGGGATTCTATTCCCATACGCCGAAGTTTTTCAGACCTTTATGGAATTGAAGGGTTTCGAAATCGTGTACATATTTTGAATTTGACTTCCACGACTTTTCCAAAAATAATTACGGGTAAAGAGTACTGTTTCAAGGCAAACTAACCATAATCATTAGAGACATGAAAATAGGTCGAGAACTCCATTAATTAATATCTTTTTCGCTCTTTCACGCTCGTGGGGTGTTTTCCGCAAAATTAGCGACTCTTGAAACGTAGTCATTTAGCTCGCTAAAGCGTCATATGCAGTGGAACTTTTCAAGAGCCTAGTTCACCCCGCCTGTATTCGGTCGTTTTGAGCGAAGTAACTCGAAGCTCTGAAAAGCTCCTCCTCCCGCATTCGAAGCACATACAAACGCATAAACACTTATATAAAGGGAACCACTTCTTCGTTTACGGTCGTCGAGAGGGAAAAAGTAACTGTTTATGCCGCGCCGGTATAATGTACATATCATTGCCGAAAGAGAGAGAGAGAGATAGAGAGAGAGAGAAAAAACTGTCTACGGCGTATCGATGCAACATTCGCACTAATAGAACGGGGTCTCGTGCGGGGCAAAAGACGACTCCCCGCGCAATAAGCAGCCCAATTTTGCGTATAACCAAACAAAGAGAGCTTTCTTTAGAAAGTCAGAAGAGCGAGCAAAACTTGGCTCACATTGCCTCAATGAAATATCCATTGAAATACCTCGGAACTTTTTGCATGCAAATTTTAACCAACCCCTCTCTCTCTCGAGGCATTCATACGAATTTTATCTATACGCGTGCCACGTGAGCGAGCAAGGACGTCCTTTTTGTACTCGTATATGCGGCGGAATCTTGAGATGTGAAAAGAATCGTTCGAGATATATAGCGCAGGATTAAAAAATGGAGTTTATATTCTTCCCACCCACGCATTGTACTTCACTAATCGAAATTTAGCGTGTGCGTTTCTTTCAGTTCTCTTTTTCAACTGTCAGTCTAATATTCATTCCGATGTTCATTGGTTCAAAAATACGGTAAAGCACATTGAGGAGCATCACGCTTAATCTGTCTCGCAAGCTCCAACGATTTTCAATGCTAGAAATCCTCGCTCTGTATACATGTGCGTGTGTCTATGTGTGTGCATGTGTGTGCGTGCTTGCGCCCGGTACTGTGTTCGCATAGTTTGGCCGAACAATGTGTACATGCAGCCGCATCGACGTCGACGAGCAGTATACACACACACATATATACGACAGGCAAAGCACTAATCCCGTGATAAAGCACCTAATGTTCTTTCCCTTCCCCCGCCGTCTACGACGACGACGACGACGACCCGATGTATACGTATATACATTTAGTTATGGGTGGGATTTCCCTTTCCCTTGGCTTGCAGCTTGACGAAGTGGTTTCGACTTTGCTTGGCGTGCTTCGCTGCCGTTGCTCGGTGTGAAACTCGGCCAATTGCTTCTGTTGCGCGCTTAAGAATTTCATTCGCCCCGTTGTTTGTTCAACTATCTGTCCCTCTTACTGCTCCTCCCTCGCCTCCCTCTGTACTTAGCGGGGAGGCTAGGCTATATCTATGCGCGGGGCAACTATTATGTTTGCGAGAGCGTGTATATGCTTGGGTAATTAATGGCCTATAGATGATACAGCCTATTCTCCGGAGAATTAATTTATTCCTCTGCAGCTTGGCCACGAATTGTTAGTTTTGCTGCTCTCTTCCCCCCATTGTCTACGCCCAATGAATTAATCATCTCCTGTACTATGATATTTCACGTTTTCTTGATGCATCAAAGCCCTGTATAATATAAATGATTTTTTATTACTCGCTCCTTTCTTGCAGGTATATTCACCGTAATGTGTTACAACGTGCTAAGTGATAAGTATGCCACGCGTCAAATGTATGGCTATTGTCCGAGTTGGGCTTTAGAATGGGAATATCGGAAAAAGGGGATTCTTGACGAAATTCGTCATTACGCAGCCGACATCATCAGTCTACAGGAGGTTGAGACCGATCAGTTTTACAATTTCTTCTTGCCAGAGCTGAAATGCGATGGCTATGACGGTATATTCTCGCCCAAATCGAGGGCCAAGACAATGGCTGAAAATGACCGGAAGTTCGTCGATGGGTGTGCAATTTTTTTCCGCACCGCCAAGTGAGTAAAACTTTTGATTAAATTATTTTTTCTTATTTTATCGCGGCAATGAAAGGCAGCAAGAACAATAAGTTTGTAACGACGAAAGGCCGTCGTTTCATCGCATTTTTAGCTCGGTATCTATTTCAACTATTATGAACTTCGCATCAAGGATTTTTCTCGCACTTGGGTTTTATACGAATACGCGCGCCTTATATACATACGTATATTACGAGTGCGAGTTTAACAATCTCGGCTTTTTTTCGCAACGATGCGTCGTTCGGCGCAACGATTATAGCCTCCGATCGTCAAGCGCTCCTACGAGAGTTATACGATTCACAGTAGGATCCCGAAAGCTTTTATTTTTAATTTCGTTCATTCTTCTCAATAAACTTTCCTTTTATTATTTCATTTCAGAGCGTAGTGAAAGAAAAAAAAATAAAGTTAGCACAAAGTTCACTTGCGACGCATTATCAAAAATGAGTATAAATTACTCAGCAGCAGCAGCCCCGAGAGTGATCGCGCAGAATTAAAGCCGCAGCAGCGATTCTCGTGCTACGCTTGTTTTACACGTTAGAAAACAGAAACACAAATGTATATAACGGGCAACATGAAGAAAAGCTAGACGGGGGTTTATATTACTACGCGAGGGCAATAAACGCGCTTGCAAACGATCGCGCGCGCGAGCGAGCAGGCCGAGGGATTTAAAAGAGCCGCCGATTTCCGTGTTTTGATCGCTCTTACTCTCTAACGACGTCGTTAAAAGGCAGCGCGTTGGATTATATTCGAGCCCTTACAGCGGCGCGGAATGATGAATTACGCATTCTTTCGGGCCGTTCCTCGCGTACGACGACTACGATGGTATATACATTCGTAGAGATAAATTTTTGAGCTTGCAATTAAGTCTCGTCATCTAATACAATCGAAACAACGTAACTCGCGCGCGCTTCCCTCGGCTTCGGAACGCTGTTATCTCTTGTATAAATCATGATATTATACGACTCTGAGCCTTGGCTCTTGTGTGTATACGCACAAGTTACCACCAACGAGAATCAATCAATCGTACGAAAACTATCCTCCTCGTGTCAATAAATCGTCTTATAAACATGTCGCAGCTGCTGCCCTCGCGCGCGAGTCTATTCATTTGCACCGAAACTTGTTATAGCCCCGAATACAATGGAGCTACTAGAGAAAACCAATCAGCTCCGGTGCAATAGATTTATGCATAATATGTTAGATATATAAAGCGAAAGAGGAAGAGAAAATCAATTTCCTCGTGACTGACCTCGTGACTTTTGTTCCCTGTTTCGCGCGTGCAGGTTCACCTTGATTAAGGAACATCTCGTGGAATTCAATCAGCTTGCGATGGCGAACGCGGAGGGTTCAGACAATATGCTCAATCGCGTCATGCCCAAGGACAACATCGGCCTTGCAGCTCTTCTCCGCACTAACGAGGCTGCCTGGGAAAATGGTTCGTTTTCACTCTTGTTCATTTTATTTTTACTTTTTTTTCATTTTTTTGGTTTTCAAATACGTACGAACGTCGTGTGAACGTGAACAAAAAAAAACTTCTTTTCAAAGTATTTCATTTATTTTTTGCTTTTTTTTTATTGTCCACGAAAAAAATGAAAACATTAAACATGAAAATGCCAAAATACATGGACGTTGAAACCAGCAAATGCCACAACAGGTTTACCAACAGACCCTGCCCAAGTCCATCAGAATGTCCTCGTCTGCACGGCTCATCTCCATTGGGACCCGGAATTCTGCGATGTCAAGCTAATTCAAACAATGATGCTAAGCAACGAGCTCAAATCTATACTCGATCAATCTGGCACGTCATTGAGGCCTGGACACAAATCAGACGCGTCTAATGTTCAACTGTTACTCTGCGGCGATTTCAATTCATTGCCCGACTCCGGTAAGTCATTTTACTTTCAATTAAAAAACAATTTATTGATTCCTTATTCTTTTATGAAACTTTTTGAAATTCTGAGTTTATAAAAATTAATAGTCCTACATCGTCTGTGTCGTGTACATAGTGTAAAAATGAATATCAATTTTAATACCTCAGGTGTCATCGAGTTTTTGACCTCCGGTCGCGTAGCGGCTGACCATCGTGACTTCAAGGAGCTGACTTACAAATCGAGCCTACAGAAAATCTCGGGATGCGAGCCTAAGACCAACGAATTCACGCACTCGTTCAAACTCGCATCTGCCTATAGTGAGGATATAATGCCTTATACCAACTACACGTGAGTTTTTGCAAATCACCCGATTCAATGGTTTGGTCAGATCTTAAATAATCGTATATTTTATTTTTATTGTTTCTAGTTTTGATTTTAAAGGAATTATTGATTACATTTTCTACTCGAAGCAAAGCATGGTCCCTCTTGGTTTACTTGGTCCTCTGAGTGCAGAATGGTTTAAAGAGCATAAAATCGTGGGTTGTCCTCATCCTCACGTACCATCAGGTAAGATAGTGAAATAGCATGATACTTCTATCAACAATAATTTCAAATATTTTTATCGTCATAAGAAAATGGTTTGACTTTAATACTAATTTTGATTCCTATTATTTAGATCATTTCCCACTCCTGGTAGAAATAGAGATGACGCCGACCTCTGGTGCAACCAACGGCATGATATCTCGCAGGTAGCAGCCGCCACGCAAGATATCCAAATAAACTTGTATTTAATTATAAATACAATGAATTGTACCTAACGACGAATCAAGTAAATGAAGAAAATAAGAAGTTGAAGATGCATATTACACAGAAGATTAGAGCTACACTAAAGAATAATATGTTTAAAATAATTGCAGTCAACTGATCATCATTGTCATAACGAAGTTACGAAGATCATCATCAAGATTCAACTAGTGCAACTTTGTTTTTTTAATTTTTGGTGAACGATATAATGAGAGCTTTATCGTTTACGCAAAAATACGCATTCGAACAGCGTGTGTACGAGAAAGATAATTAAAAAGTACAGTCTCAATTCGTGATTCAGATTGCGAATGAGAATCATGCTCATTATATCATAAAAAATAATCATTTAGTTGTCTGAGGTGTGAGTCGTAATAGTATTTTGTCTAAAAAAACTTGTGTAATACGAATTGGATTAAATGTTGCTGGCGATTCTTATGAGAAAAATTAAGAAAATTATGGGGCACTACAATAGGGGTAGTTATAACGTCGACTTCTTTTAGTTTTCAGGCTCTCTGAAGTATGAGTGTGTCGAAAAATTATTTTTAATCGCATGAATACATGTACACGTAATTTTTTACACATTCATCAATGCTCTATCCATTAGTTCGCATTTATACGTGAATGAAAAAACATGCATACCGAAGAGAGCCAAGAGCGGAAGAATGTAAGGTACAATATAATGTAAAACATTAAAATCAACATTGAGAGCCGACTAATAATCACCGCGTCAAAAACGTGTTATTTAGGGAGATTGTGTGACACTGAGCGAAAGTTTGCCGTAGCCCATGTATAGTGTATTGCATTTTTTTAATGAAAAAATAATTATAGAGAGAAAAAGGGACGAAGAGCGCACCTGATGTTTGTGTGTACGTGTAATTGAGCGAATGTGTGTGTAAGAATGAGAGGAATAAAAAACTTCCCCCTTCCGAGTCACGTGTAATAACTGTAGATAAACGCCTATTTTCCTAATTATAATAAGCGCAAGGACGCAGGTGTGATAATATAGATAAAATATTCAACGTGACAATGAGAGTGAAAGAGTGATGGAGATCGAGAGAAATGGATTATTCCGAGCAAACCTCTGTGATACGTTAATATCGAAATTTAAAACAAAAAAGCAAAAAAAAAAAAAAAAAATAGTAAAAACAAATAAATCGTATTTGTGGAGCATGTAATACGATGTTAAAAAATTTAAAGAAACATACTAAATGAAATAGAATATGGAATAATACACAACGTTGCCATCCAGTCTCGAGGTTTCGAATCATTATTTTTTTCTGAGAATCTGTTGAGCATCAAGCTATTACGATATAAAAAAGAGAGACGTACTATAACAATACAAAAACAAATAATTATTGTCGATAACATACACGCTACACTGGGCTGTGCGAAGATTTATTGGAGTTGAAACTTAAACAATTTCAATACAAGTACAAATCCGTTCTTATTGGCCACGTATATATATGAAAATATATATATAAAGTATAAATATAAATAAATATGTTATTTATATGGAATGTGTGTATAAGTCGATGAGCTCTATAAAATATTTATAAATGCATAGTGGTGTTATTCTCGTATCTGATCATGGATAACCGTTGTATAGTGGGAACACAATAAAACTGCGCGCGTGTAATTTGTAATTATAACAACTATATAATATATATATATATATATAAAGTTTATAAGTAATGAGTGTTATAAAATATCAATTGTGTAAAATGCAGTTAGATCGGGGTTAATCCTTTTCCTATGTGTGTTGCATGTATTTTTTTTATAGTTGAGCTCAAGGTGCAATCATGATTTTCGCAAGAAATACTTGTAAAATAGTTAAAATTTGTTCTGAAGCATTTTGTTTTATGTGATGGGATTTGGGCAAATCATGTGAAACCTAACTATTATAAAATCTTTTATAAATTTCTTTACACAATCGAAAAAGTGTACGAGTCAGTTGGTATTCGACAGCACAACTTTAATTTAATGAAATTGTACATTTTTGCGGTGTTGTAAGACAAAAGACCATTGGTTTGTGTATATTATTTTTCATGTGTAGCTTATTATTGTAATTTCGAAATTGTACACACTTTCTCACATTTGTAAAGACTAAGAAAATCATTCATTACTGATTAAGTTGTGGTACGAATTTATACAAAAGAAGCATTTTTTCCTAATTTTAATGCACTTAATCGATAATAATTGGTTTTCACCACTGTTATTAAATTCTTGTTCATTTAATCAATTAACAACTGTGTATTTGCAATGTTTCGACTATAAATGTAGAGCCTTAAATAGAAATTAAATAAGACATCTAAATTTGTAAAGCGATTTATTATAACTAACTCAAATCACGTTAAGCCATGTAGTATGTAGCACTACACCAATGTCTTATGGAAGTAAACGCTGCAATATGTTTATGTAAATTATATTATTTAACGTATCTTTAATTTTTTATTAAGAAAATAAAAAAATAACGCTATCATACTTCGACTATGAGAGGAAATTGAGTTTTTTTTAATTTATCTATTTGTATTTTGTGTTGTGAATATTCAAAAATGAATGCTTTACTAATTGTAAAGAAAATAACAATCTGATATCCGCAATGTGTTAATCAAGTTTTTAATACCTTGCAAACAAAATTTTACACCATGACAACAGTTTTATAAACTATAATTAAAAATCAATTTTTTTGCTATTGTTGGTGAACAGTGCACAATCATGCGCAAAAACCTTCAAACTTGAATACATGATAATTAAAAACGTAAGGGTTTATAAACAAGTCATAATGCAGTATTTTTTATTTTTTTCAATGTAAAAATGCGTGTGCTTTACTTATCAAACACTGTACAGATATAGTTTCAAAAAAAAGAAAAGAAAAAAAAACAAAAATAAGCAACATGTTGAATAGCTGAACTTTATTCAATTACGTAATAGTTTTGTACTGTTTATTATTGCGCATGATATAATTATATAAAAATCATTGTACATATCGACTATGGTACCGTTTTATGTGAAAGTTGACACATCAATATAAGGTTTAGTACGATTTTTTATGGTTTCTATAACTGGCAATTAATATTGATAATTTTTTATGTGACAATCTGATTCTCATCACCGAAAATAATTTATAAAAAATCATAAAAGAAAAAAATGAAAGATTAGCATCAAAAACTGTACGTCTCAACTTTTAGAACTTGATCTGTAATTTGACAGACGAGATCTTGTTTATTATGGATACGCTTTTCACCCATATGTACAAAAATACCCTTTGGGTTTTTTTAAGAAATTCCGAATGTTTGAAATAAGGATAAATACAGACTGACTTTGATTATTAGTATTTATTATCTTTATGTTTTATGAAGAAGAAACGAAAAGTTACATAAATTGCACGTTGTTGTAAAATAAGATGAGATTTTTATACCGTTTCGATAACTGGTTAAAAATCAGGTAATCTGTCAAATTGACTTATTCAGTGTCTTATTCTCCGTATCTGTCATCATGCTGATTACACGACAAATGCAATTTACCAACAGAGAAAAATATTTATTATCGTGATTGCAAAAAAGTAGAAAAATTGTATGTAAGTTCTTGGAAAAAAGATTAACTTTGATCAACGAAATAAGTAAACTAGTATAACGTATATATGTACATAATATATTATTCGGGGTCAATCGAACGATTTCACATAGATGCGACAAGTGATATTAAATTATATTGATTCACATCAATATCGTCTAATATCTCTTACGCAAGAGCTTGAATTTGAAAAAGTTTGAGAAATAAAAAGCAAAAAATTTAAAACTGCGAGATTTGATAATTTAATTATAGTATTACATATAAAAAATTATTGAAGCTTTAAGTTCAATTTTAACGAATAATTTTCATATTGACAAATGAGTTAAAGTAATTTAATTCACGTTTTATTGAAAAGTATCTTTTTAATATTGTAGCGTTATCTTTGTGTCGATATAGAGTCATTCTAACAAAACTGTGTGATACATGTACGATAGTTTCAAATGAGGCCTAAGAACTTTCTTCGTAAATTTACACGGGCCATGTGTAATATCATTTTGGAACTTTGAAGCTTACTAATGTCATTCGATATAAATTATTTAACGTGGAATTTGTCAATTTGCATAGTGCAACGAATGTGATTAAATTTGATTGTATGATAAAAAGTGTAGTATTAAAAAGTGTATAGTCATAAAGAAATTATTGCATGAAGCTTCAAAGAACCAAATAATAATGCAGTTTTTACAAAGTACAGCTTATAGATGGTTATTTGAAAATTTATTTGGGTTTTGATTTGAATGCTAATTCTCTTAAATTAAATTAAATATAACTTGGAAAATATGTTCACCCATTTCAAAGGTCCTAAAAAATATTTTTTTTTATCTATTATCAAAACACCGTAAACCTATTTAAAATGAATGGTAATGTAAAACATTTTTCAATGTAATCTTTAAGCTGTAAAGTGTAAAAACGTTATTGGGAAAATAGTACAATCGATCGAGAAAAAAGTATCAAAATGTTATTTTCCAGATATTATACAAATGAAAAAAAACTTTGTGATAAATACATCTATGAACTCCACAAATCATTTAATTGTTCTTACGTTGAGAGTGAGAGAAAAAATTGAGGTGAATCATTAAAAATTAGTTAATATTTATTCTAATTTAATTCAATAATTGTTTGTTACATACATTAAGACTATTTAAGTACTGTACTTAATTTATATTCAAGTACAAACAGTATCAAAATATTTTTTTTGCAATTTTTCCAAAGTATTGAATGAGATATTAGATTTAATTTTTTTTGAGATTAATTATTTTCTGTATAATTTTTGACAAGTTTGGTAAAAAATTCACCGAAATTTTACTCTTTTCATCGATAGTATGTAACTTTTAAAAAGCGAATAACATTAATGTACCAGACTCACCGTATCATTGAATCATCTTTTGCTTATAAGTGTATAACTTACAAATAATTCCATTGTACATCCAATGTAAACAAATCAACCGATCTCTTCATTTTCTACGGGGATTATTATATATTATGAATTTTTGTCACCGTCATTCATATTGTTACGATGTTTAATTTTATAAAAATGTGAGAGAAAATCGATACTCGAATTTTTTTCAATGTATAGTAGTATGCACGAAGATGTGATTTTAATTTAGACTATGAGGAACTGATTACGTTTATTATGTAGTTTTGTTCTCACTATTTTATTTTTTATTAATTTTTAGCTATCGTTACAATATGCTCAACGAAAAGTGTGCAAGTAGATAATTAAAGTAATTCCGTCAAGTTCAGAGAATGTTTAGTATATACACATTTTTATTATATCTATCTATATCTATCTATATAATTTAAAAAATGAATCGTACATGATAAAAAATCGAAAATTTAATTTTCAGGCATTATACAGTTCTTATCCGTTTTAGGCAAGTGTGAGATGACGAGAATTTTGAGTGAGCGACCAATGCGTTGTAATATGCTAAGTTAGATTACAATAAACATAGAATTTTAGTGTGTTGTGATAAGTGCCACGTGAAATAACTAAAACAATTAAATTCGAAAGTGCTTTGAAAAGAAAAATATTTCACAATATTACTGTTTTAAAAATGTAAAAAATGTAATTTTATCGAAAAATTATTCGAGAAAAGAACTCGCGTGGCGCTCTCTCGCAGTATCACAACTCTACTTCCATGGAACTAGGGATTTAAGTATTGTACCATAATAAATATAATGTACCATAAGTTTTAAGATAAAAGTATATAAAAATATTTCATTCTATACTTTTGTATAAATGAAATGTGAGGTACATTATATAGTGTATGGCAAAATTCAAATCTTGGTTAAGACTACTTCGTACCGTAAACTAGCCACGAACCATTAATATGGGTTCCGAAATAGCATAAGATGTTAAATCAACAATCAACGTTTAACCGATCTCGTTCGATTTCAAGTATTTACCAATCTTGAAAATGTTTCATTATTACCTGCAATCGTAGCGAACGGATTTTTGGTAAATTAGCTATTCGAAATTTTTTATTTTTCGCTCTGGTGAAAATTTTTTCCCACATTTCAATAAAAATTCAAAATGAAATTTAAGAGGCTTCGAAGATAATGTTTTTCACATTTTTATGAACATTTCATATACAATATACATAAACTTCGAAGCATCATGAATTACTCTAAAATAAATTTACTTTAAATTTATAATATTAATATTATAAGTTCTATAGATGGAAAAAAATTTCACCATAATCAAATGCCTTTCGTGGCTCACCAATCGTAGCCTCCATTCATTGACGCGTGAATTTTCGAGCAGGTGTGAATATTATAATTTTCAAGATAATAGAAAATTATTGAGATTCCTGTTTCGATTTGCTTTGAAAATATTGAGTTAAGAATGATACTTTTAAAGCCAAATCAATTTCATCATTTTATCGGCAATTGTTTACGCGGCTGCAAAAGAATACAAATTGTTTAACTCTATGAAATATACCAGTATAATGTCGATTGTAAAAAGTTCAATATTTTCAATTTTGTACAAAAATACTTATAAAATAATAAATATACACTATAAACTGCTCGGGGATATTGCGTACAATTCGAAGCAATAAAGAAAACAGAGTCAGTCATGTATTATATTTATGACAAGTTCAAAATATTATTAAAAAAGCTGTTGCACAACTTCAGAACAAATTTTCCAGAATACTGGCCTCCAGTGATCAAAATGTAAAAATAATCCTTTTAATCGCTCAGAATAAAATTGGTATCGAAGTTACTAAAAGACACATTGACATCGACAATTTTTCACTGTTTGAACGCGAAAGTTTTCATAGTTTTAGAATACTGCAATTGTACATTATTTAAATTAATTTTACACCGTAAAAGACGTTTTATATTTTTTTACAGTCTGAGATAAGAAAATTTCGCTTTCAATGATGATCATGGAAATTTTGTTTAGATTAATCATCGATACAATCGATTACTGAATGCTATTAAATGGATAAAAATTAACAAGCGTGTCTTGTTTTTGTATTATAGAATTGTAAAATATATAAAATAATAATGATTTAAATAATGATGATAAGAACAATTGTCTTCATCAAATGAAATATTCTATAAGAGAAACTCTGTTTTCTTAAGCGTCGTGTTCGGCGGTCGTAAAGGCATATGAAATATAATTTATTAGTGTGTACAAGCAAGATGAATGTAACCACTAATATTAATTATTAACTATTATAAAATTTTATTTACTGGAATGATCTGTGTTTCATACCTGAAGAAATTTTGTCACTTATACATTGTCAACTGAAGATCATTTTTAATCTTTAACGATACTAGAAAACAGCATCAAGGCTTGAGAAACTTAATTTTTCAACTCTCATTTTCGGCGTCTGTGCGACATGAAGAACAACTATACATAGGCACAATCGGTTTCCTCTCTATATACATGTTGAAAAATGCAATGATTGTATGTGGGCTGCGTTTGAATCATGATTGAATGTAATATTTATTACATAAATATAAAATAAAAGGAAAAACAAGAAAAAATTAAAAAAATTAATTAACCGCTGTTATTATTAAATGACCTTTCCTTAATTAATACGCGACAAATTAAAAAACTTGATTTCTATCTATTTGAAATCTTGAAAATACCATTATTATTTACTGCATTGGTATTCTTATCAAATAAATTAGTAGGTGCTTTATCTCTAAGTAATGTAAAAAACTTATTTCCGATAAAGTTAATTTGTTACGCAGTTTTCAATCGTTTAGTTATTCAATTTGAGTCAAATCTTTGTTAACAGTTTAGTTTAAATTATTTAAGTAATGACCATAAGATCTTTTTAATATGCTCTTTCAATATCATTTTGTATTGTTGGCGGCAGCTTTTATAGGAATAATATTCCCGGAAAATGCAGCTCAACCTAGTGGAGTCAGAAAATTTTTGGAACCTTCGAAATATTACATTGATGATGTGGTACGAAAATAATTAAATCATATCGATCAGAACATTTTAATACATTATTTCTGTTATAAGGTACTATTGTATGTAATGAAGGCCCTTAGAGAAGCATTCAAAGATATACAGGAAAAGTGTTTGAGAGAAGCAGCTGGAAGGTGCAAAGCTCATTGGAAAGACATTCGAATTTTGGTGAAATGTGCGGTAATACTTGTCAAAATTGTTTTATAACCTTAGCAATTGTATAATAGTATTAAAATAAAATTGCATATTTTTCAGAGAGGATTCATGCACGAAAATCGGCGTCGATGTACGAAAATGCACATATAATATATTTCAATGGAGCAATAAAGAATCTTGTTGAGAAATAAAGAGTCAATGTTCTTGTAAAATACATACTAGAAAAGCCCTTAGTCAGCATGCAATTAAGCCAGCTGCCTCACAGTGCCTCACTATCGATAAATAAAAATCAGACAGGTTCCGTTTGAATTAAGTGTATTGGCGAGACCTTTAGTACTGACACGAGTACATGTGATCATCAGAACCAATTTGAATATTTCAGAAAATTTTTGGAATAACGTTGAGTAAAGATAGAATTGAAATGTAATAAGTCACTTCATACTACTAGAATTTACTAGTTTACCCTGAAAGTAATGGGGAAACAGGAACGTGTGTTATTGAATTATTAATAGAATAGAGCAATTTCTCGTTTATATTAAAAGTTGGTCATTTCATTATCACATTTCGAGGAAACTTGATTAATTTAATTAGTGAATCTGTAAGATTTCATACTTCCTCATGATACAAGGTTTCCTGTATAATTTCAAACTACTTTAATGAATGCTTATTGATTTTATATGTTTATTAGCCACAAAAATTCATAAATTTTCAATAAACAAAAAAGAACAGTTTAAAATTTTAATTTGTGAATTATAATTATTTATTTATTTTTTAGTATTTTACTATACTCTATTATAACACATTTTCACTTAAAAATAATCAATAATTATCAATAATGCTAATAAACCAATCTAATGACTTGTACAGTTTTGATACTTTACACAAATAAAAGTAAAGAAAATAACTTTAAAGTAAATAATTCAATGTACCAAATTAAAGTTAAGAAAAATACTTTTTATATTTCATTATAATGTTATTGACAAGCATACATTCTAGAAAGTGTTTTCTAATACCCGTCAACCAGTTATTTGTCAATTAAAAATTTTTATACAATTATTTACAACTTTTCTCTACTATTATACATGTTTTATCAAAATATAACAAAAATTAATTTAATTTACCTACATTAATCTTTGCCATATATTTGGTGTATTTTGTCATGCTAAAATGTTTTACTAATTGTAAAAAACTAATGAATACACTCACACTTTAGTCACAAAGTCCATGTTATTATTCAGAATGTTTTATTATTTTTTAAATAATCCATTGCCTCGAAGATTTTAGTCCAATAAATCGTAAACACACGATCGTTGTAAAATTTCGGTTCAAAGGGCACTAGTAACTTCACTAAATGTTGGCGCTGATCTTCGTCTACTTCGAGGAGTACCTGCATGCTTAATAATTCAAACACGTACTCCAGAAATTGTTTGTGTGCTTTTACTTGCTCTTCTGTTACAATTATTCTTGCATCATAAAAATGAAATCCAGTATCGTCATCGTAAGCCAGTATCCATTCTGGTTTTGGAAGGGTTTCCTCGTTTGGATCTATCTCCAATAAAATTTCTGATAAGCCATCGAGTATTTCTTTCGGCAAGTACATATTTTGTTTACTTGCAATTTCTTTTTTCAATCTCACTGAATAATCGTTAAACTTTATAGTCGGCCTTTCGATTATGTACATGGCGTTCGTTATCTTCAAACACACCATGAGTATGAAAATTATGCTGAAACAAAATAAAAATCAAATGGGTTTAATTGTCTACGGCTCTACATTGTTAAGTTGATTGGATTTGTGGTAGAAAAAATAAATGATAAATTTCAAAAGTTCATTATTCGAGAAATTAGAGAAAGAAAATTGTTACCCCGAGAATTCCATGATGCTGCTCGTGTGGTCGCCTGTATCAAAGTGAGTCTCGGCCTCTTTTTTTAAATTTAAACTATAGCAGCTATAGCAGATAATTCTCTGACAGTGGCCAGACTTGGGCGTCACAATCATGTTTTATATACTTTAAACGTAAAAGGAATTTTTATTTTGCAATTTCCATAAAAATTGCGCTCAGGTGATTACAAAACGATTTATTATCGTACCATATGCGATTTCATTCATTCATAAATGCTCTTCATGATCGTGGTACGTTTTTGTAGCTTGATGTAATATTTGCAACAAGTTGTGATATGAGGATTATAATCATGCGGTCTCATGGATAATTCCGCCATAAATTCGCGTACTTTTCAAGTGCTCGTAGATATCGGTACTTTCGGGCGATCTGCAGCGTCAGGAAAATTACCAACAGCTTCTCATTTACTAAACAAGTTGCTTAATTCAACATTATAAGCGTTGCACACGAGGTGCTCCGCGATTGTTGAATCATAGACAGATTTGTCGACGTCAAAAAACAGCATCGACACGGTGAGTCAGCTGACCGCATGAGTCTCATCGATTCGGCAGCCAAAGATCGTAAATCTCGTCAAATTGGATACTATAAATTCGCTACAATTTAAAAAAAAAATCTCGAGGTATTTATATTAACAATGCCAAAAAAGGTGAGCCTTTAAAAATGGAAAGACCCAGCTGTCAAATATCCAAGTGCTCCACGTGCAGCGCGAGAGAGTCGTCAAGAAGGGGGTTCATCGTCCGATACGTTTGTACGTGTGCGACAGATCGGTTCGCGCAGATTGCGATGATCCTGCGGCAAGTAATTAATTCTCCGTTCATCTTGTTTAGACTCGTTACAAAATTATCGATCCAGAAATTTCATCTGCAAATCATCGATTTGTATGCTTAACGATAAATAACACATTCTTGATTCAACGTTTCGCGCGTGCCGATTGTGTTCGATACAGTAATCGTGACTCGTGGGTGTCGGTGCTGTCAGCAGTGCCAGTATGTGTACTACGTCGCGAATGGCAATGTGTGATATCATCATCGCAGTTTGTGCATTTTGAAGCACACAAACCCTTCAGTATTTGTCAGTGTTTTCCATGCTCGTGTGTGAGATAAAATATTGACTCTTTGACAAGCTCTTCCGACGCGGAATGTCAGAACAGAGTGTTTAAAGCGCAAATTAATCGACCGAGTGTATATTGGCAAATAGGTTATGTTGTTTATATACAAATATATGACGTTTGTGTACAGCAATTTGGCCAACACATATTTTAATTTTTGCAATATTTGATATAACTAAGAGGTAAGCATTAATTTTTCTCAGTTATTGATGTAATAACATTATTTTCTAAAGAATGCACTCGCATCTTAGCTTTTATAATTGTAAATCTTATCTATTATGAAATTGTCAATGTATCCACACTCAATGTTTTCTAGGTAAAACCATTATTTAGTCGTAGACAATACAAATGAAGTATTCCACCTCGCCCCCTCCTAGTCGGTGTATATCACCAATGACATCCAGACGATCCAGCACCATGTTACCTCCGCCTGTCACTTGCAGGTACGTATCAATTATATCAGAAATCTTCAATAAGTTAATTGAAATTTTTCCCGTAGGCAAGACTGTTTTGGGGCTGCCACCAAATGTTACAAATATTTGAGGAAACTGCTGAAATTCGAACAAATGGATTTTGAATTCGCAGCTTGGCAGATGGTGTATCTTTTTACTTCGCCTCAGAAAGTTTATAGGAATTTCCAAAGTAGAAAACGTATGACAGATCTTAAATTACCATCATTATTCAAATACTTAAGATATCTAAATTTATCCCAATTTTTTCAGAGACAAAATCACAATTCGCCAGAGATGATCCAGCCTTCTTAGTATTATTAGCAGGTTGTCTCTTTGTGTCGTCTATTGGCTTTGCAATACTATTAGGACTCAGTTTCTTACATTTCATCAAATTTCTTTTGTATGTGGTATTTGTTGATTGCATCACAGCAGGAATTATTGTAGCTTCAGTTTTGTGGTAAGAATTTTCTACACAATAGCAAAAGCTGAAATAGATAAAAACATGTATCTACTTAATTTTATTATTATATGTATTTCCTTATAATATAGGTTTGTTGCAAATAAGTATTTACGACGTGATAAAACACAAGATGTGGAATGGGGATATGCATTTGATATTCATTTGAATGCTTTTTTCCCACCTCTTATGATTCTACATTTCATACAATTATTTTTATATAAAGGTAAACGCCTAATAATAAGATCGTTGACGTTTCTTGGTCATACAATTTTTAAATAAATGTATTAAATTTATCTACAGGTGTGATAAGTCATGATTACTTCTTTTCTCGATTGGTTGGAAATACATTTTGGCTTGTTGCCATTGGTTACTACATTTATATTACATTCTTAGGATATGCAAGTATGTACATAAATTATTTTTCACTGTAAATAGTCTCCAAAACTAACGAAATTATTTTCAGGTGTTGAAATTCTCCATAAAACCCATGTTATTCTTCAAACTGCAATTCCTGCTGCAATGGTGATGTACATTGTCACATTAGCTGCAGGTATCAATATAAGTCAACAGTTAATGGAGTTTTATCACGACAGAGTAATTTGAAACTGTTACTGTTCTTTTTTGAAAAAAAGTTGTATGAAAAATTGTAATAGAAGTTTGATAAAATTTTGTTAAAAATATTTTTATTTTACTTCTCTCATACACATTTTAATCCGATTTATTTTTATAACATCTTGTATATATACACATGTTATATATGTAAAAATTAAGCAAAATATAATTTTTGTTTAGCGCCAAGTAATTTTTTGCTCTAATTTATTAATTATTGCTATTTTAAGATTATATACAGCATTTTGAAGCCCTTTATAAGCCATGTGTAAATTCATAAATTTTTAACTAATTCCATGATTAACAAATTTTTCAAAATATTTTACATTGGTTTATCATGACATATTTCATTGGCAATGATAGTCAAAAAGAAAGTCAGTACTTAGAAATGTATAAACTATATCCTTCATATGGCCAAATATATATATTTATAAATACATTAACAACACTTAATTTTACTTTAAATAATAAAACACTGTTAGTGCCATGTTACAATATTTGGATATTCCTTGGAATTTTTTAACTGCTAAATTAACATGAAAATGAAAACAACGTATACACTGTTAAAAAAAAAAAAATACTTCATATAATAGTTAATTAAGCTACCTGAGCTCAGTCAGGTACTGCCCGTATAGTCTAACTTTCAAAATAAGTTACAGTTGGTCTGAAAAATTTCTTGTCAAGTTTAATTATGCTTATAATTGTTTCTATTTGTATTTTTTTTTCAATATTGCAAGGTAAAAGTACCTTTGTTCGTCTAATAGATAAAAATTATAAAAGTATCATTTCTGCGGCAGTTACATTATTTTTAGGCACCAAATGACTTGTATGATGACATTAGATGCTATTAAGGCAAATTAATGTGTTTTGCGCAACACATTTTATCAAGTGTATAATATTTATGATAGAGATATTCGTCCAATATTGCACTCTGACATGGGTCTTGTTGATTATTGCATTATTAATTTTTTTTAAATTAAATTATGGATTTTAAAATAAAAATTAACAAAAAACTTCAGGAATTATAAAACTGCTTGTTTTTTGGCTTCTGAAGCAGTCTCTCACGTTCTTCCTCTTCTTCAGTATAATATATTCTCGTAATGACTATATCACCAGTGCTGATAGTTTGGCTAGATGACTCTTTACGATTTACTTTAGGTTCCGATGGTGAAGAGCGTTTCGAGCCTTGGCACGCACAGGAGCATCTGCTAGGCGTGGATCTACTACTACTTTCGTCGACTTCGTTTGACGTTGATCCTGTAGCTGCTGATAGAATGGCTTCGAGACGTTCAATTTTCTCGTAACCGTCCATCTGATTGTCGGCTAAAATTTCGTCTACCATTTGCATGGATTCCGTTAGACTTGGTGGCTCCGAACTACGTGATAAACCTAAAAGCAAAATGTGTTAAAACTTGATTGTTAAGGGTTGTACAAAAAGTTATTGCTATTTACCAAAACAACCATTATCAGAATTATAGCTTTCCAAACTCTGATATTCAGCATCTTCATTTTTGCAAGATCCATTGTCATCTTCGTCGCTGCTGTTACTTTTATCCACACTCGAACCTTCTAATTTTTCGAGTTTTCTCGCTACTTTGTAACTACCTTTTAATTTTTCTTTCTCTTCATTCGATAGATCTAAATGTCTAAGCAAACGGATCTCTCGATTACTGAGAACCATATTCTTTCCAATGCATTCGTTCATTTTTTTTCGTAAATCAGCAACCTCAGTCTCTGTTTTTCTTCTTTTTTTTCTAAGCTTAACATCATCAGGCCTAATGTGCGCTAGTATTTGTTCTTCGCATAACTCTTGCAAAAGCTCCTGGTATTCTGGTTTAATAACTTTTGACATTGCTTCGTAAATGATGGGTACGAGACTGTTAACGTCTGAACACGCGTAAACTATCATATCTCGAGTTAATGGCCTTTTTCCCCAATAACGTGGTTCCTTTTTATACAGATTTCTAAGTGATTCCTTAAAAACATTTCGCGGAGCTCCATACATGTCGCATAAATTATTAAGAGTGATATTTTTTACTTTGTAAACAGGTTTACCAGTATTTTGACATTCTATCACGCAATGTGCTGCCTAAAATTGAAAAATTGCATCTATTATTTAAACTGAATTTATTTATGTGACACATCAATACAATACAAAATTTATTTACCTGTGTATCAAAAATACCAGCCAAAGTTATGCCAAACTGGTTAAAGAGAGTAGCGCTTGGATTTTTGCAATCATGAACTACTTTTAATACATTTTCATTTTCCAATAAATACTGTAGCCCACATTGAAGAAGATTAGGACTACTATGCAAGTCAAAAATATATGCTTGTCCTGTCATTGAACCAATTTGTAAAAGAGTTATTTTTCCATTAGGCCCTACGTTAACTCCTTCAAATGCCACAGAGATAACAATTTTGCCGTTGTATTTTTTCGAATGCATTATTTCATTGACTATCTGTTTACCATCGTTCAAACTTAAAACAATTTTAGTACTTTGTGTGACTCGAGATTTCATGGCTTCAGTTATCACAGCTTTTTGCACTCCTCTTTCTTCTTTATTATTGTCAGCTAGAGTTTTGATTAATAAAGTATTTATTCGCTGCTTCAAAGTTTGCTGTTGCAAATTTATGGGTGCAGATGAAGTAACTTTTGATTCATTGTTTTGAACATTAGAACTGTCCCCAGAAATGGTTTGACGATCATTAAGAGGACTATTGTTCTGTCTACGTGAAACTATTCTAGCATTAGCAGGTTTATCAAACTCATCAAGATTGCTTTTTTTATTGTAATTGTTATTTTCATAACTATTCTGTTTCTTTGTTTCTTCTATGGGTTTTGGTTTACCTATAAAAGTAACCACATTTTGTTGAACATGAAAAGTATCTGGAGACATCTTTAAGAATGTTGTAAAGTCTTGCAAAGTATGGAACATTTCTGTTCCTTCAGAAAAATCTTTGATGACAATATGAAATAATTGATCTAATGCACTAATTTTTTGTTGAGTTATACAAAATTCTAAAAAACTTAGGAGTCTAGATGTGATGGCTGGATCAAAATCTTCTTCAGGTTCTGTAAAGTAATGAAAAATTAAAAATTAATATGTTTTACATAAGTTAAAAATAATTAGAATTAAACAAACATACCTAATTCTTTGAAAGGTTCTGCTTTCATGCCTTCATACTGCTTCAATATAACATTATCATTGTTAACAACAAAAGCATCTGGATACTTTAATAAAAAGTCTTTAAATTCTCGAAAGTGTTGACCAGATATATGTCTTACTTCTGGCGAAGCCTGAGATCTATGACCTAGTAAGCTTTTGATAGGTACTTCCGTTCCTACACCATATTGCTTTAGTTTGTCAGAAAAATATTCAACAGCTTCTACAGCATAATCTCGTTTTTTGTACTGACTACTATTTTCTTCAACTGTTGATTGAAATGTATTTACACATACATAGTCTCCATTTATTATAAATAAAAATGGATACTGAGCTAAGAATTTTTTTAGGCCACTTTGAGAACCACCAGCTATTTGTCTCATTTCTTTGGTAAATCCTTTTGCCCCAAATTGACAACTCAAATCATGCAAAGATCTGGGACCGCCTTTATCCATAAGACGTTCCAGGAAAAAAAGCAAAGTACTATTCCTAGCATTTTCATATTCTGAACTGTCCATTGTTTAAAGTTGCCTATATTCTGAAAGAATTAATTTCGTTTATTTGAGTATCGACGAGAGTGAAAATCATCAACATTTAAAAATTCTGATATTAAATTTTTTTTTAAATGTCCGAATCAGTAAATTGTAAACAAAAATTAAAAGACGGGACTTTTAAGGTTAGCGATGGAATGTCATACTGACTGTGATGATACACACAACATCCGCAATCCAATTTAAGTAAAAAAGAAATCACTACTTATACGGTTTCGAAGTATCAACTGGTTTGCGTTACAATAATTGAATGCTCAACAGTTTTTTTCCTCGGATGAGAAATGCCTCGAAATGATTAATACAACAAAACGATCATGATTTTTCTCTGCTTGTGCGAGCAAATATAAGTAGGTGTATTCAGTTGGGAAATACTGAGTGTACGAACGAGCAGCAGCAAGTGAATCTAGGGCACTCTACCTATGCAGACGACAGAAAAATATGTTTTCAAAATACACAATTGGAGTCGAACGCACGAAATAAATTCGATCGAATTAGGAGGAAAAACGTGCCGTAAAAACGCGTCCGTAAAACGAATGACAGACAGAAATTTTGCGTCGAACGCCCATACCTGGTATAAGACAAGTGTTGTCGTGCGATTACATACATACGTGGGTAAAAATGACGGCGATTATTAACTTGTCACGCAGTGCTGTCTTATAAATGTACAATTTATGTGTGTGGTGAGATAGGCGCGAGTCCGTCCGCGAGAAAAAATATGTAACATAAACTGCCGCACCTTTTGCCGAAGAGAGGAACTGTACTGGCGATTCCGAATGCTGGTCGTATTGCCGCTAAGTATATAATTCAACGGGAGGGAAAAAACGAGTCTCTCAGCTCCGACAATATATATATAGATAGATCTGCGCGTACCTATAAGTATGCGAGGCTGCTGAGCTAACATTAACAGTATGCTCTCCTATATATAGCTCTACTATAGGTGAATGACTATCTTGACAATACCTTTACTGACTCTCGAAGTCGCGACTTTTTTTACTTCTCTACCGAAATTTAAATGAAGATTGTGTCGACCTGTATTTATCTAATCTGCTGCCTGCTGCACACTTCAATTTTCAACGGTAATTGATATATAATGTATGTGTGGTAGGCGCATGTACACACATGTGTGAGTCGTACGAGCGTGCATATGCCATATCTGATGGACTGCGACAGAGAAACAAATATTTTCAATTACAGGCCACGTGATCAGCCAACAAGATGGCGGGAAGCAGAAAATAAAGCGAGCTCCGATCGCATTGAAGATCAATGAGTGTGTAACTTTGAGACGCTGTCGAAAACCATTCATACGACAATGAATGCAAGGCTTACTGCTCGCTCGACGATGACTCGTTTGCCGTTGTCTGGATGTAAACTAAAGCTGAAAATAAGGAATGAATGAAATAAGCTTGAAAATTTATTTTAAAATTTTACAGATGTTTGAGCAAAAATTACCTGCTCAGATTTTGAAGTTTTTTAACGCCCTTCTTCAAAGTGCATGGTTGGAGAACCTGAGATTGACTAAGCTCGGTCTTTTTTCGTGATACTTCACGGAACTTGCAAAATCTGCTGACCTTAGGTCTTGAAGTGCAGGTTGACATCGTGTTCAGAATTTTTTACGTGAAAGTGGTGTTGATACTTCTGATAAACTTTGAAAAATATGTACGTGCGGACGTTTCTCCGTCAGCTCATCAGCTCAAAAAATGTACGTGCGTCATGTTTTGATTCAGGAATGTCCAAAAAGGACCTGAATGTCGATTTTTTGGAGTCGCCTATCATCGTCCTTTCAAGTGGCCCGAATTTGAAAAGTATGAGCTTTTTAGGAGAATTTGAAAAGTATGAGATTTTTAGGAGCTTGTTCAGCTCTCTGTAGCTTTGCAGCAGTCGCTTGATATTTTCATAATTTCCAACAAAAAATTGATTTTTCCATTCAAATTCACTGAGAATGACCCGTAAAGAATGAATTGCAACGTACTAAAAATTATACGACAATTACACAAATTACATCTTTATTTTTTTATAGTTATTGTACGATATCCCTTGCAACTCCAATGATTAAAAACATTTTATCGATATATGAATTTAGAAATATGCAGTGATACTTCTGTAATACGAAGTCCAAAAAATGTCAAATTACGGGAGTTTTCTTATTATAAAAGTTCATTGTATGATGATAAGTAAAGAGAAGAAAAGTTACATTTATCATTATTACTCGCGTCATACCAACGCTTGCTCAATCAATGCAATTCGGGCCAAAAGTGAGACTTTATTATAAATTTTTTTTTCTGCATCATCACACGAATAAAAAAATTTAGTTGAGAATCGTTATATGATCGAAATGTTCAAAAGTTCGAATTTTAGAAGTAACGAACAATAGCAAATATAACAGCTGGATAAATAACAATTTTCATAACTTTTTCGGTGCAGTTTTAATGACATGCGAGTGACTCTGTATGTATCAAAGATAGACATAACGTCTTATGGTCAATCCACGGTGGTGGGGGTAAAGTATCGCCGAACAGCTATCACAAGGGCGAGATCACCTCGCTAACATAACGAGCTTAGTGCGTCAGTCGCTGGAGAAGAATTAGTGAAATCGATCTACAGTGTTTTTGGCTACTCGAGGCATATAGCCTCAAATATTTTCGCAAAATTCGCGCGATTGCATGTAATCAAAAGAGTGATGGCAAACAGCACAGTCAGGTATAACACTTTTTGATGTTAATGTTTGCACGATGCATGCTTCTTTTAAGCCATCGCTTTGTCAAATTCGATTATTCTCCAGCGTGAAGAAATTAAAGTCGACCGGTACTTGTCCAGATGCAGGTGACAATAATATTTTTGATTCGGTGGACTCTTGCGAATTCAAAAACCTTGAAACATTGCCATTCCACGGGTTATCGGTGAGTTAAATAATTTGATTTATGTTCTGTATACTATCAAAAACCACAACAAAACTTTAATTTCAGGCAAGTCTTACGAATGAGGCTATATCGTTACAGAAAAATTTAGATAGAAAAATATTGATAGATTTCGAGTGCAAATATGTTAAACCTGAACTGAAGTATTTATCGACGATTGCCTTCAAAGCTGAGTATAAGAATCATCCAGTGAAAGTTAAAAACCAAATTCAGACCAGCTACTTAGATGAATAAAATCTGATGATTTTGATAAAAAAAGATTTCGATTATTATAAAAATTGTCAATTTCAAGTAGATTCTCGATTGAAACTTAACAAACATGAAGAGATTGAAATATTTAGAAAAACTACTCAAACTAAATTATCTTATGAGATTAAAGTGCCTCGAAAAACTAATAAAGGAAAAAACTCATATAAGAGTGTTACGACAGATAAGAACATTACAAAAACCTTCAAGCGTAGCATATGCAAAAAATCATTTAGACAAAAACAACAACTCAAATCTCACATACGTGCAGTTCATCTTCGTAACAAACTTTTCAAATGTGATATTTGTAACAAGTCATATGGTTGCATGGATCAACTTATAATTCATATTAATACGGTACATAATCGTAACAAGCCCTTCGAATGTGAAATTTGTCACAAGTCATTCGGAATAACAGATCATCTCAAAAGACACATAAATGAAGTACATCATAGGAACAAACCCTTCGAATGTGAAATTTGTCAAAAATCATTTGGACTGAAAGGTGATCTCAAACGTCACGTCAATGCAGTGCATGATTAAAGAAAACTCTTCGAGTGTGAGATTTGTCACAAGTCGTTTGGATACAAGAGCAAAGTTAAAAGGCACAAGATAACGGTACATAATATAATGCAAACCTTAAGAGTACGAGATCTGTTCCACGACGTGAAGACTTCCAATCTCACATATGAGTACGCTACGTAGTTTTTTAAAACATAAATATTCTTGAATTTTTTGAATTTTAATAAAATAATTCAAAGTAGTTATTCATTTTGTTCTAACTTTTAGAAACTGTTTGCTTATCTTTCGTATATTAAATAAAATATTAACAATCTTGCGTCTTGAACTCTTTCTTTATAGTATTGCTGTTGGATCAATCTTTCAACATTTCAATTATACCCTTGAAACAATAATTATTCATTAACATCGCCCGAAAACTCCAGAACTAATTTTCGGATTCGCGGAAGATTGAACAACTGCAATTGTTGGTAAAAAATTTTGGAAGTAGTGATGGTTCATCTCAAGTGATGCAGATCGTATATTGTGTCTGTAATGATGGTAAGACATTATTTTACACTTGTCATTCGACTCTGATTAAGTACATATCGGTCAATTTATTCCCGCACCGCATCCTTAAATTCGTATATGTATTTATGAATCAGTATTGGTCACTGTGCCGTGCACGCGTGTGTAAGTAAGAATAATGTATAAATAGATAAATCAGGACCTAAATTATAAACAATCTAATTATAAACGATTATGATATTGTTTCTCGAAATCTGATAATGTTATGTAAGTGAAACAAATTAGTTTGAATGTTGTCTTCCCCAACAAAACAAGCCATAACACCAAAAGATAAGTTTTACTTATTCAATTTCTTTGGTACTAAATAGAAGAATTCCCCGTTCATTTTAAGCACCAAAATGGATAAAAGTGAGAAGATATCCGAAGAAATTGTCTCGAAAGATCATTCAAGTGAACACAACATTATTTTTTCGGGTGACAAAAAATACATTTGTGATATTTGCCAGGAGGCATTTACACTAGAGTTAAGCATGATAACGCACCAACACACAGTTCACAATGAACGAAAAGATTACTCATCCGACCAGTGTGAAAAAAAATTTGAGTTCCGAAATCATTTGAGTAGGCACCAAATTTCAAAAGACAAGGGCCGTACAGATTTTGCATGCAACCAAATCGAGAAGAAATTTGCGAAAAAATCCAGTTTGTGTGCGCATCAAAAATTAGTACACAAAGATCGAGAAAATTATGTATGCAACAAGTGCGAGAGGAAATTTGAAAGCAAATCAATTTTACTTAAGCACAAAAAAATATTCCACGACGTTTTCAGAGAATACTTATGTGAAAAGTGCGCCAAGAGATTTGCAAGTAAGCAGAGCTTCGTCACACACGTAAAAAGAGTCCATGACGATCAGAGAGATTTAGCCTGCAAAGCCTTAAAAAATTACTCATGTGACAATTGCGAGAAGAAATTCGGAAGTAAATCGTATTTGCTAACCCATCAAAAGACAGTCCATGAAGGTCGGAAAGATTACGTATGTAACAAGTGCGGAAAAAAATTTGGAGTAAAATCGAATTGGCTCATACACTTAAAGACAATTCACGAAGGTCGCAAAGACTTCGCATGCGACAAGTGTGAGAAAAAATTTGGTTTTAAACAGTATTTACTCGTCCACCAAAGAACAGTCCATGAAGGTTGCAAGAATTACGCATGTGACAAGTGCGAAAAGAAATTTACACAAAAAGGGAATTTGCTAACTCATCTAAAGACAATCCACGAAGGTCGAAAAGATTACGGATGTGACAGGTGCGAAAAGAAATTTGGAGTTGAATCGTATTTGCTCTTGCATCAAAAGACAGTTCATGAAGGTCGCAAAGACTTCGTATGCGACAAGTGTGAGAAGAAATTTGGGCAAAGATCGACTTTGCTCTCTCACCAAAAAGCAGTCCATGAGCGAAGCAAAAATTTCGCATGCCACAAGTGCGAGAAAAAATTTGGAAAAAAATCGAATTTGTTTAAGCATCAAAAGACAGTACACGAAGGTCTCAAAGATTACGCATGTGATAATTGCGACCAAAAATTTGGAAAAAAATCGCATTGGCTCCAACATCAAAAGTCAGTACAGGAAGGTCGCAAAGATTACCCATGCAACAAAAGAAATTTGGATTCAAGTTAAGTTTGCTCTTACACCAAAAGAAAATCCATGAGGAGTAATTTGGAGTAAAATCGAATCCCCAAAGGACAACACACAAAGGTTGCAACGATTTCGTATGTGATAAGTGCGAGAAGAAAATATGATTGACAATCATAAATCCCTTTAGATACTCAATGTTTCTGTATATGATTTTTTAAAATTGCAATAAAAATTGTCCCAAGACGATTGAGTCACACCTATAATAACTTGTAGCTTTGTAGCTTTTTTTGTGAATCAAATTTCGCGTACTACTAATTCCTAAACTCTGTTCGTTTTTTGGCTACTTAACTCTTAGCTCTTTATTCAACTATCAGTCCATATTTATTTTTCACGAATTGTTTTGAGCTTTGAATTGGGCGAGCATTTAGTTGGCTTGTAAAGAATAAGTGGTGAGCCCTTTGTCCTGCGCCTTGGTGATGAACGAATGTTTATGTGCAAGACACGCGAGTGCCTCTGTGTATCGAAGTAGATAGCTGCGTTTTGGACAGTTGACGGTAGAGGGGGAAAGTGCCACCAAGCAGCTATCACAAACGCGGGTTATTTTCGCTGATTTACGAGTAGCGTTTAGAGTCACTGCGGTGAAAAAACCTGCTGTAAGTAGGTGTTTAGAAATGTATGAATTCAAGGTATAGTGTTATTGGCTCTTCGAGACGTTTAACCTCAAATACTTAATCAGTGAATACATAATGAAGCGAGTGATGGAGAATAAAGAGGACATAGTTAGGTATAATATTTTTTGTCGTAGTTTTTGAAACTCGATCAATTATCAATCTTCATTATTCTTTAGGGTGAAAGAAGAACTCAATGATACTTGGGTGGTTGCAGACAATGATTATAATTTCGATTTGGTGAACTCTTGCGAAGCCCAAAATGTTGCAATGCTCACGTTTAATAAATTACAAGTGAGTTTAATGACTTTAATTATGATCTAATTTTACGCTATCAGAATCTATTACACAATTTTAATTTTAGGGAAATCATATAAATGCGGTTATTGGGTCAAAGAAAGAATTAAACGAAAAAATATTCATAGATTTCGAGTGCAAATATGTTAAATCTGAATTACCGTCACTATCGACGACTATCTGCAAAATTGAGCATCAAAATTATCCACCAGTTGACAAATTAGAAAACCAAATTCAGACCAATAACTTAATCGATAAAGTACATGATCGTAGCAAACCCTTCGAATGTGATATTTATCACAAATCACATGAAAGGAAAAGTATCCTAAAGAAACACGTAGAGACAGTCCATTATCGTAGCAAACCTTACGACTGTGATATTTGTCACAAATCGTTTGATCTAAAACCTCATCTCAAATTTCACATAATGACCGTACACGATCGTAACAAACCCTTCAAGTTTGACATTTGCCACAAATCATTTGGACTAAAAGGTGACCTCAAACTTCACGTCAATGAAGTACATGATCGGAGTAAACCCTTTGGATGTGATATTTGTCACAAATCATTTGGAAGGAAAAGTATCCTAGAGAAACACATAGAGACAGTCCATTATCGTAGCAAACCTTACGACTGTGATATTTGTCATAAATCATTTGGACAGAATTGTAATCTTTTTATTCACATGATGACGGTACACGATAACAGGAAATTCTTCGAGTGTGCCATTTGCCACAAATCATTTGGACTACAAGGAAACCTCAATAAACACACGAATTCAGTACATGATCGCAGTAAACCCTTTGGATGTGATATTTGTCGCAAATCATTTGGATTGAAAGAACACCTGAAAAAGCACATAATGATGGTACATAATCGGAGCCAACCCTTTGAATGTGACATTTGTCGAAAATCATTTGGACTAAAACATAACTTCAACATTCACAGAAATGTGGTGCATAATCAGAGTAAACTCTTTGAATGCGAGATTTGTCACAAATCATTTGGACAAAAGAGTAGCCTCAAAAGGCACATAATGGTAATACATGAGCGGAGAAAACCCTTTGAATGTGAAATTTGCCACAAATCATTTGGACTAAAAGGAACCCTCAATAAACACATGAATTCAGTACATGATCGCAGTGAACCTTTTGGATGTGATATTTGTCACAAATCATTTGAATTGAAAGAACACCCCAAAGGGCACATAATGACGGTACATAATCGGAGCAAACACTTCGAGTGCAAAGTTTGCCAGAAATCATTTGGACAAAAAAGTCACCTTGAAAGCCACGTTAATACAGTACATAATCGGATCAAACCCTTTGAATGTGACATTTTTCGTAAATCATTTGGATACACTAAGTAACCTCAATCGTCACTTAAACAAAGTTCATAATCGGTAGCAAACCCTTTGATTGTGACATTAACCACACGTCGTTTTGACAAAAAATTGTTCTGAAACTGCACGTCAACTCGGTACATAATCGGAGCAAACCTTTTGAATGTGATATTTGTCATGAATCATTTGGTTTAAAACATCACCTCAAAACTCACACGAATGTAGTGCATGATTGTAACCAACCCTCGGAATGTGAGATATGTCTCGAGTCATTTGAATATCAGAATATACTCAAAAATCACATAATGGGAGCTAACTTTTTCCTTAAAAAGCACATACGCTTCATACATATCTTAACCCAAAGTTTGCTATTGAATTTGAATTAATTTTAATGATTAAATTTAACTGTTATTCATGAATATTTTTCAATTCTGTTAAGAACAATAAAATAATTCAAGCTATCATTCATTTTGTTCTGACTTGGAAAAACTGTTGCGTTACCTTGCACACATGAATTAAAATAAAAACTCGGTTGAACCGATTTTTTAACCTACTAATTTTTAAATTTAACTTTTTCTTGGGTGCTTACTCCTTATGGGTAAGGAAGTAGAAAAACCTGCCGTTGAAGCAGTTATTTTCCGAAAATCCCACGACTGATAATCGTACTCGCGGAAGATTGAACAACTGCAATCGTCGATAAAAAGGCTCTGTTAGTTGTAATAATTCGATGCAAAGTATATTCTGAAAGGTATGAAATTGCAAGTAATAAGATGAATTTATGATATAGCCACCATTCAGCGGACTTTGCACGCAAAAGCTATAAACGATTTTACATTCAAGCATCGAGATACTGCCACCACACAAATTCCAACGATCAATCGAAACACGATTAACTACATGCGATTAACTACAAACTATAAATCCTTAAAGTTACGGAATCGTTTTATCGTCCAATACATGTAGTTAATATAAAAATCATGCATTTTCAACTTCAATGAGGATTGAAACATTGACATGCGGTGGTGTGAGTTTCATGATGGCATATGAATTATCAATAAAGAAGGAGTATTTCTCTACTACATTTTAAACTGTTTAATTAAAGCATTTATTATTTATATATGAAGAAAAACGGTCCCGAAAAAAGTACGATGCGTACAATGAATATTACTATAATCGATGACAAATTTGGACTATACTTTTAAAATTTAATTGTTTCGTTGATGTCTGTCTATAATTACTAAATTGTACATTATGAAATGTGACAAATAAAAGACAAACCTCCCAAAGGTTTAATTTAAATTGAACGAAAATTTTCGGATTGATTTTATTTATCAATAAATTTGACTATAAATTTTTCAAACTCAATAGCAAGTTGACGTTTAATATTTTAAACAATTATTACGCATTGAAATGAAATTAAAATTGAATTAAAAATAATTGAAAATTCGTTCGAAAAATTCACTTTCAAATATTTGGTTCATTTATTTATTTCTAAAGAAAAAAAACATTGAATCACTTATTTATCCCATTTACAATTGCACCAGACGGAGCGTGTCACGAGCTCCTAGATAGATTTGAAATTTCTAATTGGCACTGGAAGAGTCGATAAAGCAGAGCTACTATACCTACGGCAGAGCTGCCACCGAGCGTTTGCATCCTTGCCAACTTGCGATCTATTAAAATCGCAGCCCCGTTTGCGCGCCGCTGCTGCTGCGGTGGTGGCGGCGGCGGCTCGCATCCTCGCGTGTCATCGCAGACTGTGGCTCATGCCTGCTGGGCTCGCGTTTCGGGCAGCGTACCTCAGACCTGGCGAGACAGTCACCGTAGCCGGCGGACTATTGCTCTTGCCTTTAGTGCACGCGAGTCGTCGCGTCGTGTGTCATACACAGATTTATGTATATGATTTATCGGGAGTGCATAAAAATATTAATAATAAAATAAGTGATATACAGTAAAAAATACAGTGTGTGCAAGTGCCGCGTGTGTGTCATTTCGTGTGTGCGTAATAATAAATATATATGTGCAACGAACATTGCAGCCTCGTGGTCACGTGCGTCTCCTGCCTGCAAGCTGCCTATATGTAACAACACACACACACACACGATTTAATCACGGCAGAGGGTGAAGCGAGTGTGAACTGTGCAATTATTATACGCGAGTGACCCCGTAGTGAAATATTTTCTTTCTGTCTCTCTCGAGTAAATAAATGTAAAGAGTGCTTTGTATTATTATACATGCAGTGGGTGCAGTTTCAAAGTGTATAATCGATATATCGAAAAGTATCACATTCGCAGCTCAAAGGTCAGTCTCTAGCTATACATTATACCCTATCGTGTATTTGTGCAGCACGAATTCGATCGCTACCTCGCGCGTTTCATTCATAAAAAGAAAACAATATAAAAAAAAGCCACCTGACGAAAGTTTACTCAAAGTCTCGCCCGAAAATATACGACGAAAGATACGCGTATAGTTGTACACACGATGTACGGAGCGCATGTGCTTGCGATGAGTTCAAGTCGTAGAACGCCAGCAGCAGCAGCAGCTTTGCGGGGCGCTATGCTATGCTGTAGACTCGGGCGCGTGTTATGTGCATTTCGGCGAATCCAAAACGACGCGGCTACGGCGGTGGCGGTGTCTCGAGAGCGAGCTCATTGTACCAGCAGCGGCAGCGGCAGCACGGGCCAGTCTATGCGCATATTATCTCGAAATAGTTTTTAACGCCGTTTCCTATGAAAAATCTAAAATTCGCATGACTCGACTCCAACGATGCTAATATCAAAATATTTACCTCTTTTTACGCTTCCTTATACTTATTTTTCTTTATGAAAAGAAAATAAATTTCTCGTTCTCGCGAGATATCCGAATGTTTTTCTTGCAACATTGCTCTCGCGCCGATGCTTTGTCATCGATTGCGGGGCATTTTATTCGTTTGTTTGTTCGTGCTCCCGTTTGAAAAGCCACAATTTTGTTTGTTAGAAATCAATTCGAAGCGATGATTTCTCGAAAATGTTTTTTGTGCTCGATGGAAAGCAAGTTTAATATTGCCACAATATTTTTCAATTGAAGTGTCGTATTTGTAAAAGGGTAGTTGAATTTTTATCGACGTCCAGGAGGCATGTGTCTTTAAAGGTTTTAGGGTGCAGTGACGAAACACGATAGTGCCAATGACCCGCGCCGGCCTTTAACCAAATTATCGATTGCGAAGACTTTTGTTCGCTTCGTTCTTGTTCAAACATCGGAGACTGTGTCATAAAACTGTCCGAAAATTAAAGTTTGTGTAATTTGGGTCTTTCATCGTTTCGTCGAATACTTCGGCACTTACGACTCCAAATAATATTCGAGTTTTATCAAAATTGACATGTTTTTTCCGTAAAAAAGCACCAATGTCACTTGTATTCACACGACTATGACCCTGTACATTAAAAAAGTGCAAAATATCATTTCACTATCGCGTTCGTGAAAGTTCAGACAGACAGAATCCACAAGGGTTGTAATGATACTTCCGCGAATTGCCTCGTAAGCACGTGCTTTCATACGCTAGAATGAAAAAGAAAAAAAGAGTATAAAAGATCAAGTCATATAAAAAGCAGGCATTATCATAACCATTGAGATCTCGAAGATAATTCGGCGACTCGGCTGCCATAGATTCGTGTATACAAAAACTCAAAAGTCACAACTTTGAAAAATAAATCACCCTTTCAAGCGATAGATATACGATACAGTTGAAACTATTTATTTATTAAATTCTAAGACACGATATAAATATAGACCTTTTGACATATTATATAGGAAGTGAAAGAATCTCTCGCAGATGAGTAATTCGTTCGTCATCTCGCCGCGCGCGTGTATATCAGGAACCCCTCGCACACACGCAAAAACACATAAATTCTATCGTCGTCGAGAGCTTACGTCCATTTTGACTGATTGCAATACTCTGTGGGCATCAACGACACTTGTATAATGGCTTACTCATGTACATAAACGAGTCCGAATTATCAATCACGAGCTTTATATAGTGAGCACATGCTCTATGCATGCCTGTAATAATATATAGAAAAAAATCTCTGCAAGTACGTTGGCGAGTCGAAGAAAAGGATATTGTAAATATATACAATTGTATAGTATCTAATCCCTCCTCGACGAGCTGCAGCAGCAGTGCAGTGCAGTGCAGGCAGCGGAAAAGCCTACGTTCGCTCGCGCATTATTATTTCATTCGCGTATACTTACGCGTGACAGAAGTGGCGCGGCAGTGCCCGGCACGCGCTACGAAAGAGTTTATTTATATACATGGCCAGGACTCGTGGCGATAATAATAATTCATCCTCCACGATCTCTCGCCGGAGTTATAAAGCACATGTTTTGCGCTTAGGTGTATGCTATAAAACGTTGCGTGCGCGGCAGAGCTTATGCATAGTATATGAAAAGCAGCGGCAGCAACACGTTGAAAATCGCGTCTTTGAAGCCTCGTAAGTGCTCGCGTACATACAACAACGATACACATTCGTGCGACGAGAGGGGAGAGGGTAGGCCGTTAAAAAATTATTAATGCTTTTTTGCGCCAAAGACTTAATCGTGACGAGGCAGGCTGTTGCTCGCGAGAGAGATCCCTCCTGCGATGAAAGCACCTGGCTTAACGATTCTCCTTCTTTGCTCTCTCTCTTTCTTTCCCTCTGTCAAACGCATATATACGAACAACGTGACCGATCGTTTCGAGGGCACTTATAAGCCATCGAATCCGAGTCATTTTAGAAACGTTTATAATTCGAAAAACATAAGTTTTAGCTGCGCACGCATACACAAATATCAGGTAAATCCGCGAAAGGCTCGTAGTAGTTAGCGCAAGGGAGAGAAATTTGATCTCGCCGCGGACGTGCGCAGAAACGTAATATTAAACAAACGCGCGCGACAGAGAGCGAGAGAGGCCCGCTTTTTAGACATGCAAATTTACCTTTGTATCTCTCTATATTATAAGATAATATCGCCGCCATTCGGTGAAATGGTCATATGACGTCATTATCGCCGCCATTCGGTGGAATGGTCATATGACGTCATTATCGCCACCATTCGGTGGAATGGTCATATGACGTCATTATCGCCGCCATTCGGTGGAATGGTCATATGATGTCATTATCGCCGCCATTCGGTGGAATGGTCATATGACGTCATTACGCGATGATCACGTGATTCGGTCGAAAAGTCACATGACGTCATCACGTGATGATCACGTGATTCGGTCGAATGATCATATGACGTCATCACTTGATGATCACGTGATCAAAAGGTCATGTGACCTTTCTATAACGATGTCATCAAGTGACAGACCTTTTGATTATGTCACTTTGACCTTTCGATCACGTGACGATCACGTGATTACGTCACGTGACCTCTTTACCTTTCGCCATTTTAAACATTTTATTATAGTGTAACCTTGCGCGTTTTGGTACAAGAATAATTTAAATAATAGGGTCATAAATGTGATAATTATGGTTATTTTGGTTTTTTGATTACGTGATTTTAACCTTTCGTTCACGTGACGATTACGTGCTTAAGTAACGTTACGTTAAGTAACGAACCGCTTGATGATAACGTAACCTTGAGCGTTATAATTCGTTCATCATGCGATGCGTCATAACGTGATCACCACGTGATCGAAAGATCAGAGGCACATGATGATCACGTAATGAGGTCATGTAACCTTTTGCCATGTTGACCATTTGAACCTTTGACCTTTCGATCGAAATATTTGAATTTGACTTTTTGATCACGTGATTATCACGACACCTTGACCTTTTGATCAGGTGGTGATTATTATGGTGACTTTGATCCTTGACCCCTTTCGATCATCACATGATCATCACGTGACTCTGACCTTTCTATAACGCGATCATCAAGTGACTGACCTTTCTATACGTTAACATTACGTGACTTTGAACTTTCGATCACGCGACGATCACATAATTACGTCACGTGACCTTTCGTTCATTTGGTACAAAAATAATTTAAATAATAGGGTCATAAATGTGATAATTATGGTTACTTTGATTTTTTGTACAAGAACCAAAAATTATTATGGTTAATTTGGTTATTTTGGTTTCTTCCATTGTACAGACGTTCTCATCCAGTTGAAAGATTAGCATTACACTTAGAAATTAAACAAAATTTAATTTTCCCTGAAAATGAAGAAGTAGAAGCAGCCAAAAAGCCTGGTACTACTTTAACAGCGTGGTTTGATTTAAATAAAAATGATGTTCATGCTAGAAAATTCACGTACGTAAATAATTTACAAGACTATAAGTACAATAAAAAATTTTGAATTTGGGAACGGAGATCACAATTTTCAAATACATTGGGAAGAATAGTTAGTGTTGTGCCAAAAGATGTTGAACGGTTTTATTTAAAATTAATTTTACACAAAGCTAAAGGCTGCAAATCATTCGACGATTTAAGAACTTATAAGGGTATTAAATACGATACATTTAGAGAAACGGCGATTGCAATGGGATTAGTAGATAGCGATCTAGAAATAAAAAAAATATTGACGAAGCTTGTTTAATAATGATGCCGAAACAACTTAGAAAATTTTTCCCTTGGTTTATAATTATTAACAATATACCAATGATTCGAGACGTTTGGCAAACTTATAAAAAATATTTTTTGGAAGGTTTTAAAGATAATCATGAAAACAGAGCTTTGAAAGAAATAAATGATATTTTAGAATTTGAAAATTTAAGCTGTATTGATGTCGGTTTACCAGCACCGAATCTGGATTTTTTAAAAACTCTTGTTGATGAAGAAGATTTAAATAGTCAACTGGAATTTTATAAAAATGAATATCTTCTTAGATACAAAAAAATGAATTTAGATCAAAAATTAATTTTCGATTACGTAATAACACATTTACGTAACGCTGGTAAACCGACATCAATACTTCTTCATTTTCAGGGAAAATTAAATTTTGTTTATTTTCTAAGTGTAATGCTAATCTTTCAACTGGATGAGAACGTCTGTACAATGGAAGTATTATATAAAATTTTATATTATTAAACATATACTCATATGAAATTGTAAACGAGGGGGGTTGGCGCGCGAAGCGGGCAGGGGGGCTCGCCCCCCTAGTTATTATATATATCCTTTGTGTCATTTTATATTTTCCTTCGTCGTCTGCAGCAGAGCAGGAGACAATGAGCTTAAAAACACAACATATGCGAATATGCGTATTACGTTGCTACTTGTACGCTTCTGTAATTTGATTATATTATACGCGTGCGGTCGCTGATAAAATCACGGTGTTTCTTCCGTTC